CCTAGAGTTATACTTGCTAATATCGGATTTATCAGAAATAAGGATAATGTTTTGACCTCTACATGCCAGCCTTTTCTTTTTCTTTTGGCTTCTCTGTTGATTCAGGAATCTGGTGAGGAAACTAGGGCTGGAGAAATGGAATCAAGCTCTCTTTATGCTACTGGCTGACATCAAGCATGATGGCTTCCGTCTGAGTCACTGTGAACAGTTTTCAAAGCATTTCACACCTACATCTCGTGTGATCACAGCAACTTGTTGAAAAAGGCAGGACAGGGTTTATTAGCTGAGGAGCTAAGGCTGCAACTATTAGTGCTTCCAATATTTTTCAGATCGTGGTACATATAGGAAAATGAAAAAACGTTCATGTATATGTACACACATACATACATGTACACATACATATTATACGTGTGTGTACATGTATGTATCTATATCTATATCTAATATATCTATCTATATCTATCTATATCTAATCATCTGTATCTACATCCATCTATATCTGTATTGGTATCCTTCTCACTCTGGAAAAGGGATGAGGCTTCTGGCACCAGAGCTGATGAGCCCAGAGGTTCTGGCTGCCCTGGCCTGCCTACTCCAAGCATTAAGGTCAGCACACCTGTAACCCATTCCTTGCCTAACAGTTGGGAAGTTCTAGCTTAGATAAGAGTGCTAACTAGTTCAAGAGAAGTTTAAACCCAGGTCCTCTGAATCCAAATTCAAAGAATCTCAAATACAGTCAGAGATGGGGGAAACATTTGTTACTACTACACACCTTTGCTATAGTTTGCTGGGTCAGAATATTCTCGCCTGTGTCTACTGGACCAATCTCTACTCAGAGATGCAGTCTGCGCCCTATCAAGTTTCCTCCTTTCTGAACCAGACAAGACTTTTCTAGCTACCTTCTGGAGAGGGAAGGGGTCTCCTGCGCTGGGTGGTCCCCTCCTGATCTGATCTGGCATTCCACCTTGGGGAAGATGGTGCCTATTGGATAACCCAGGCACTTCCCTGATTCTGAACACAGCAAAGCCCTCTTCTCCAAGGTGATCTCAACAGAAGATGGCCCATTAATTTAAAATATTGTTTAAAGGGGTAACCAAGAGAAACTAACCTTAAACATCTTGATGAAACTTAAAGCTTATACCGGTATATTTGGGCACCATTTTTTAAAGGGTAGGATCAGGACATATTTTTGGAGCAGGCTTCTGTTAACTGGAGTTCTGTTTTAATGCTCTTGTATTAACTACACCCACAATTCACTTATTCTACACATAGTTATTGTGTTCCTACTATGTGCCAGGTATAGTCTAGGTGCTGGGTCTCTGCACCCATGGAGTTTACTAATTCTATTGAACTCTTCTGTAAGTTCCAGCTTAGGTTTCTTTAAAGTTGGATGAGAATTTGAAGACACAAAGCATCCTGAATACAAAATTATCCTAAGATACTTATGACTTTTTGTCCAGTCTTTTTACTGTCTTTTCCACACCAATTTAATAGCATTTTCTTGTGTAATTTGTCCTTATTAAGCTTCTCCAAAACATACAACATACATTTGTACAGAAACAAGAACTCTTTTCTTAAAAAAATATTTTATATATTTGTTTTTAGAGAGGGAGTAAGAGAGGGAAACATCTAGGTGCAAGAGATACATTGATCAGTTGCCTCTCACATACCCCCAACTGGGGATCTGGCTGGCCTACAACCCAGGCATGTGCCCTGACTGGGAATTGAACCAGCAACCTTTTGGTTCGCAGGCTGGCACTCAATCCACTGAGTCACACCAGCCATAGCAAGAACTGTTATTTTGTACTTATGTTTCATTGGCTTTTACAATAACTAAGTTGCATAATCAGAATTGTAAGTACAACAGGCAGAAACGGGTTTGGAAATGTATAGCACTGACCCCTGGTGAGCACTCAGCTCAGTGTGTGGGAACAGAAGTACCTGAGAGTATCTCTACTAGTCCGAGTATGTCATGCTGTGGCCACTAATGGGTTTCCAGAGGAAACGGCGTTTGTTAACCAAGTGACTTGGTTAGGTGGAGGTTGGTTGTGAGAACTTCTACCACACTGACTCACCTATCTTCTCCAGACCAATATATACGGGACTCTGAGAGTGGCTTGTACCACTTTTCATTTTAAAAAATATTTTATTTATTATTTTAGAGAGAGGGAAAAGGAGGGAGGAAAACATCAATGTGCAAAGAAAATATCAATTGGTTGCCTCTCACATGCCCTCAACCAGGGACCTGGCCCACGACCCAGGCCTGACCGGGAATTGAGCCCTTTGATTTTCAGGCTGATGCTCAACCCACCGAGCCAGGGCTGCCACTCTTTTATTAAAGGTTCCGAGTACCGTACTTTCTCCAAAGCCTTTCAAAGGTGGGAAACAGGGAGGTGTGCCTTTGATGCTAAGTTTTTTAAAATAAAATTCATAAAGAGGAAAATATGTCTCTGTGTTGTTTTTTGGGTGATATGTGAACTTTTTTCCCCCTCCACATTCCTCTTTTTTGTACCTCCCCGTTAGGGGCCCCAAAGCCTTCCTCGGACATACCCCTTTTTCACTCGGGATAAGCAGTGAAACTCATCCTGCCTCATGTCTTGCAAAACCTGGGCCTCAGGCCCCAGCTGAGTATCGGTGAGTTTCCCCTTAGCTCAGGCATCCATGGGTTCTGGAGGGGAGAAAGGTAAACTCTGGTAGGTGAATGGGGGGGGGAAGGAGGAGGATCAGGACCAGACTTTTCCCAGCTGAAGGCAAATACAAATTACTACCCTAAAAATGTAGATTTCTTCAGAAAAAAACACAGTCTGGTTTTCTTTATTTTTTCATTAAAAATGCATATTTGTCTTATTATTACGACTTGGCCCTGGTTTCCAGGCCTGGATTTTGTGATGAAGAATACTCCCCTTTCCATTAACTAAAAATGTTCCTACTAGAACCATTCAGGAAAAAATGTTATTGTGTTCAAATAGCAGACCTCTGGTGCCCAAATTTCTCCCCATAGTAGAGGCGGGTTTTCAGATCATTCTCTATGATGAAGCACCCACTCTACGGGAGAGCCAACTGCCCTCCCGTGCAGGGGTAGGAGGAGAATATGTGCCTATACATCCTGACAACAGCTCAGGCAGGAGCAATGATAAGAAGTCAACAATAAAGACTGCTCAGTGTCCCGCAGTGCTCCTAAAGTAACAGTGAGATGATAGAGATTATTTAATCCAGACTGCTTATGTTACAAATACGGCAACCGGGGCACTTGGGTGAAATGACTTGCAGAAGGCTGAGCTAGCCCGAGGCAAAGCTGGGGTCAGTGGTCTCTGAGTTTTAGTCATCTGTTGAATTTACTGTAGCGGCTGTTCTCCAAATGCGGTCCATAGACCCCTGAGGATCCCTGTGACACTGCCAGTGTGTGCATGAAGTTAAAGCTATTTAATAATAATATTATGATCCCCTGCCCCTTCCCCCCACCCTGCTCCCCTTTCACTGTGTTGACATTCACACTGAAGGAGCAAAAGCAACGGTGGGTAAAAATCCCAGCATCTGTGCAGGCAAGAATCAAAGCAGGCACCAAGCTGCACTAATTGTCATTGCCACACATTTGTAGTAAAAAACCAAACAAACAAATGCTGATTTCATTTAAGACTGTCTTTGATGAAATAGTGACAATGATTAATCTTGTCAAATATTGACACTTTTCAAAATATTCTGTGTAACGAAATAGGCAGTATGCATAAAGTACTTTTACTGCATTCCAAAGTATGATGGCTACTTTTAGGAGAAGTAGTCAGCGATAGAGCCGTGGGTAGGGAACTAGCCATTTTTTTCATGGAACTTTTTTTTTTTTTTTGCTTGAAGGATTAAATGACAAAGAATGCTTTTTCAGATTGGCTGTTTGACAGACATTTTCTCAAAATGAACAAAGGGAGCCTGTCACTTCAAGGAAAACAACTGATAGTGTTTGTTGCCAATGATAAAATTTGAGCTTCTATGTGAAAATTAGAATTTTTGAGAACTTGAATCTAATATTGAGGAACTTGACAGCTTACCAGTACTCAAGGACTTTTCTAATGAGATTGACGGTGACGTGAATGAATGTGATTTTTAAAATATTGTATAACAAAATGTGTCAAAGTTTTGGGATATCTGCATAACTTAATAAACCAGCATTTTCCAGTGACGAATGCATGAGTAAAAGATTCATTCAAAGTGCACAATAAGGCAATGGATTTTAATGTAACAGAGCACAAAAATTCACTGCTGTGCTTTCAGATTCCACACTGCATCCAGCCTTTAAGAAGCTGTTACATTTTAATGCAGTATCAAAAAGAATATCTATATTACTTCAAAAGACTATTAAATACTTTTTGTTTTTCTAGCCACATATCTGTATAAAGCTGGATTTGGCTTCACATACTTTAGCCAAAACAACATATTGCAACACACTGACTGCAGATAGGAGAATCCACTTACTTTCTATTAGCCAGACATTTTTAAAAAATTGTAAAAAAAATGTTTTTGAAGTAAAAAAAGTCACTCTTCATGAATTTAATTTTGTTTTGGAAGATATGCTTTTTAATACAATATGTTATTGATGTTAATATGTAATGGCTTTACTGTTGCTATTTTAGTTATTTAATAAACATTTTAGATTTTCTACTGATAGACATAGACTACGTCCATTTTCAGAGCGTAAGGTGGTGCGAACCCAGAAGCGTCTGAGCGAGCTCCGGGAGTTACCCCGCTCTGCCTTCCAACGGGGAGCTGCAGGGAGCTGCTGCTTTCCACTTCGCTCAAGTAACCCAAATAAGCCAATGCTGTTACTGTTTTGTTTTTAAATCCAACCTGCCCTGTTTCTCCAAAACTGTTAAGAAAACCGCAGATTCCTGAAATCGAGGAACCCAAAACAAAGCGAAAAGGCAAAAGATGTGAATAATAACATCCCCAAAGCCTTGCAGGGCTGATCAAGGACCACCCCCCTCCGCCCCCCCACCCCACCCGGGGGCCTGGTAGGAGTCGCCTATTTCTTTTTGCTTCATTGGTCTGGCAGCACACCATCCACCCGCTCCCACCTCTTATGTCTCAGCCCAGATCCTGGCACACTATTGTTTTCTGGGGCCTCAAAACATAAATGGCCTAATGAAAGCTTTGGGCTGGTGTCTACTCCCAGACCCCTGAGGAACCGCAGACCCCTGGCTCCCCACGGACCCTCTGGGATTCCAGCATAGAGAAGGGTACTTTCCGTCTGTGCCTCCACCAGCCCCTCGTTCTCAGGTTTAGGGCTGAGACGAAAAGGGAAGGCCCCTGTTTCTGGACTGAAAAGCAAATGTAAATCTCTCCCAGGCCACGTGCCAGAAGCTGCCAGGAGACCATTTCCCTGTTAGTAAACAGGGCCTCAGGGGCCATCCTTCTCTTCTTTAATAACCTGTGGGGCACCTATTGATTGCACATGCTGGTCCCTCATAAATTAGAACAGGGATGCCTGCTGGTCGCTCCGGAGCTGCGTGGATGGTGAAATTGGCTCACTAATACTTCATGCTCCTGGAGCAGAGAGCATCGTGCCACATAAACATGAAGAATATTTATCATCAGGCGCTGAGAATGCACAGGAAACGACTGGCGGCTGCAGAGGCTTCTGGGCATGCTGCAGACTTTAATTAGGCAGTTTCTCGCAGTTGGTTTGGAAGAGGACAGAAACGCTGATCATAGGCCTCCTGCGGCAGCGGCTCCGTTTTCAAACGGGAGGGAACTCCAACTCCCGCGGTGGGAGATGGGCTTGCTCCCACCTCTGCCTCCTCTCCAGAATGTTCAGCCTTTGTGCTCTGTTAGAGCACTGAGTTAGGAATCAAATGACACTTTGTAAACTCCAGCTTTAACCACTTACAGCTCCACGATTTGGGGCAAATCCCTTAATCTCAGCATCTCATCTGGAAAGTAGAAAAAGTACTAATACTTAGTTGGTTATGAGTTTGAGGAAAATAAGGTCTCTGTAAGCTCTTAGTAAACACTTGCTGAAACTGAATTCACATCGAAGGTCATGGGGACAGGTCGAGGTCTGAAACTATTTCTTTCTCTCCCCTCCGAATCCTGGCATCAGTAGATTCCTGCCATTGCCCCGGCCACGACCTTGTGCTGTAAGAGGTGAGGCCATGGGATGAGTAGCTTGAGAAATTAGAAATATTTCTCTCATCCCTCTGTCTTCCTGTGCCCCTCCTGACTTGGCTTCGGAATTTAACAGTCACTTCACAGGGAATGTCTCTAAAGGGGAGAGTAAACACAGGAAAATATGCCAACATAGCCTACCATTTTACTAAAAAGCATGGCACCCGCATGCCCATCCTTGCCAAAACTTTAAAAATTTCTTCAACTTTAAGCAGGCCCTGGGCCATTGAGTCTCTTACACTTTCCCAAAGTAAATAGCACTGTCCCTACCATTCCACCACAGTCCCTTTTGCCATCACTAATTAAAATGGACCAGAAAGAGTGTGTATGGTTATATTTTCCTATCTCCTACCCAGCTCCTGGAGATGGTACCTGATACTCTGGGATGCAGTCTGTAGTGGGGTGAGTGGCAGCACCCCCCAAAACTGTGAAAGTGACCTTACTTGGAAAAGGGGTCTATGTAGATGTAATTAAATGAAGGCTCTTGAGATGAGCTCATCCTGGCTTAGACTCCTGGGCTCCAAATCCAATGCCAAGTATTAATGAGAGAAAAGTGGAGACAATACAGACACAGAAGAGACATCCGTGTGAAGACAGAAGCAGAGAGATGCAGCCACAAGCCAAGGGACTCCTGGGCCACTGGAAGCTGAGAGAGACAGGAAAGATTATCCACCAGGGCCTTTGGAGGGAGCGTGGTCCTGGGGACATTCTGATTTCAGACTCTGGCCTCCAGAACTGCGAGAGAATACATTTCTGTTGTCTTAAAGCCACCCAGTTGGTGGGAATTTGTTACCGAAGCTCTAGGAAACTAATACAATGTGCTCCCTGAGGATGGACCCCAGCTCCAGTTTGTCTTCCACAGCAGCCAACTCTTGGGGAACTCAAACAGCCGCATGGGGCTGTGGCCAAGGACCCACACTAGAGGAAGGGTCCTGGGGTGCTTTTGTCATCCATTGGTGGGCAAGGCAAAGGGAAAGAGCCTGAGTTTTGGAACTAGATAGTTGGTTTGAAACTCAACTCCACTACAGGCTCTGTGACTTCAGATAAACTACTTGCCCTCTCTGTCCTTTAAGTGTCCTCATTTATAAAATGAGGATAATAATGTCTATCTTGTAGGTAGGGAAAGATCCAGGATTGGAGGCTTGCATGATTTTAGAGACACTTTTAAAGGAAAAGGATGAAAAGTTTAAGATCTAAAATTAGGAATGGTGTCTTGAAAGGGCCTTTTGCAAATGAGTGTCCCTGAGGCTTAAACTAAGGCTACCTGTGTTTACAGGGTGTTCTGGGGATTATAGATAAAAACAGGAAGCCCTGGGCAGTGCCTGGTTCCTAGTGGGTAAAGCTGTCTGGATGAAGAATCCAAAACTTAGGTGTCTGTGGGAAGACCCATAGACGTGTTTGCAACACAGAGAAAAATATCTGGTAGGACACATTCCATGACAGGTTGCTAGTTGTTGCCTTGACATCCATTTTCCATTTTTTTTCGATAACAGAAAACCGACTTTTCGGGGAGAATGGACACGTGCTCAGCTAAAGCCCAGCTTCCTGAGCTTCTCTTGCAGTGAGATGTGGCCATGGGACTAAGTTCTGGCCGGGAGTATAAGCAAAGAGGTGTAAGAGACTTCTCTAAAATTTTCCCATGAGAGAGTGTTAGGAGTTAAACTGAGTCTCCCCAAAATTCATATGTTGAAGCCCTAATCTCAGACACTGTCTCAGAGTATGACCGTATTTGGAACAGGGACCTTGGGGATACAATTTATTACGGGGATACGATTAGTTAACACGAGGCCATTAGGGTGGGCCATAATCCAATATGAATGGTGTCCTTATAAAAAGGGAAAATTTGAACACACACACACACACACAAGGGGCAGGGTCGGGGGAGAGTCATGTGAAGATCAAGGCGCGGGATGCGGTGATGTTGCTACAAGCTAATGAATATCAAAGATTGCCACAAACTACCAGGAGAAAGGAGAGGGACAGGGAACGGGTCTGTCCTCACAGTCCTCAGAAGGAACCAACCCCGCGGACACCTTGGTTTCAGTCTTTTATCTTCCAGGATGATGAGACAATACATACTTTCCTGTGGTGTAAGTCACTCAGTTTGTGGTACTTGGTTACAGCAGCACTAGTGAACTCATACAGTGAGAGATGCTCTCCTCCATCACTCTTCCATCTGCTGCCCGCAGTGCAGGTAAGAGGGCCTACCCTCCGTTAGCTGCTTTGGTCCTCGAGGATGAGGCACCTAAAACCTTCCCGGAGCTGCCGCATTAGCCTTGGAGCGCCTGCCTTTGGACTTGCTTTCCTGAAAAATAAGTCAACTTGAAGCTTTTGTTGTTCTTATTGTTTTGTTTGTTTGTTTTCTGAAATACACGCCTGAACATAATTTTAACTGAGAGACACGGAAATTAGATAAATTGGTTACTATTCAGGAGGAGGACTAGGATTGGAATATCAGTGGCAAGGAAATTCTAGCTTTATTTGTAATGTTTCAATTCTAATATAGAGGATGTATTTATGTATTCTTTTGTAACTAACAGTAAATTTATTTTATAATAAATAAATTACAAGAAAAAAGAGAGATGAGAACCTGTAGATTAAAAAAGACCTAAGAAATATCTTAACCAATTGCAATGTATGAACCTTATTTGGATCTTGATTTAAACAAAAACATTAAAAAAATTTAGAGACAATCAGGGAAATTTTAATATTAATTGGTTATTTGATATCATGGAATTACTGTTAACTTTTTTGTATGCTAATAATATTGTAGTTATTTATTTAAAGCCCTCTTATCTTTAGACTCTAAAGCATGATTTTTCAACCTCAGCACTGCTGGTATTTTGGGCCAAACAATTCTTTGTTGTTAGGTGCAACTCTTGGGCGTGGTAGGGTGTTTAGCAGCACCCTCGGACTGTAGCCACTAGATGCCAGTAACAGCCCCCCACAAGAGAAAATAATGTTTCCAGATATGGCCAAATGTCCCCTGGGGGGATGGGGGAGAATTGCCCTGGGTTGAGGATTACTGTTCTAAAATTTAGAGAAATTTACTGGAATATTTATAGGTAAAATGATTTAATGTTTGGGTTTTGCTTCAGAGTAATCCAGGCGATGGAAGTGGATTAAAGTATCCCATAGTGAAAAGTTAAAACACATTTAAAATTTTTTTGCAAAAGTCTTTTTGGACTTCTTTTTCTGTCAACATGGTAGACTCATTTTGAAATATTTTCTCACTACAAAATCTGAGTATACTAGACAAAATATAGTGAATATTTATCTTCCTTGGCCCAAGATCTTGTCTCATGTGTCCTACATCGTCATTGAAGTCCAAGGCTCGATTCCAGATCTGACTGGGCGAGGCAGACCCTCTTTCCCACATTATTAACGCAGCTCCACCCTGGCATCCTTAGCCAGGGGCTCCTCTTGGACCTACTTCAGTTGCCTGGAGACCTGACTCTGAAAGCATAGCTCCCAACTTGGCCTCCTCCTCTAGTCCCCAAGCTCCAGCCCAGAGAGGGTGTGTGTTTAAAGCCAGCTGCATTAGGGCCTGGCTCAGAGAGTCCAGCCCGTTAGCTTCCTGCTGTTTGCAGAAGTGTTATGCTCTGGCAGAGCACCAAGCCATCCCACTCCCTTTAAATGCGCACCACACTTGCACCCACATTCTCCACCAGCTGCTTCACTTGGCCACCTGCTAAGGATACTCATGGTGCTCACCTGGGCGTCTCTGCTGAGACCGACCTTTAGGCCTACCTGATTCTCCCAAGGCACCCTCATGCCGTGGGCTCTGAGGGATCACCCAAGTCCACCAGGGGTCAGTCGGGGCGCAGGTCAGAGCAAGGGCCTGTGGGCTGGAGGCAACTCAGAGTTGAAAGTTGTCTGCTGAGGGGCCTAGGCGCGGCCACGTGCTCTGCACTCAACACAAGATCTAGGGCCAGTGAACTCCCTTCCCCAGGTGTCGAGGGAGCCTGAGGACAGCAGGCCGAGCTGCCCCCATCAGTGCCGGAGGTGGGTGGAAGCAGCTCCAGCAGAGTCAACGGGGCAGCAGACAGGCTTCGGACAGAGCCGCTGAGCAGTGTGGGGTAAGAAGGGCCTGGCTATTTTTACACGGACATTGTTCCAACCACATCAGGGTTTTCGGAGGTGGGCGGGACCTATCCGGTGGAAGGATCTCTGAGGTGACAGGGCGACAGGGGCCCAGGCACCACCACTTCCTCTACCTTTCTGAGTGAACGTCACCAAGCCACGGGTCCTGGGTCTGCCTTTCTGTTCTGTCCCTTGGAGAAGTACAGTGAGGTGAAGTCTGGCCACACGCTTGCTCGGGGGGCAGAAGTGAATGCTGGCAAGTGTGCAGTGCTTTGAGAGCTGTGGCTGGATTTGGGTGAGGAGCCATTTCCCTCCCCCCATAGGAACTGAACAGTGTGCGGGTTTATAGCCGTGCTTAGGGTTAGAGAGCTCTGGGCTCGAGTCTCGGGCCCTCCATTTATTAGCTGTGGGAAGCGCAGTCAGCATCTCTGTGCCTCAGCTTCCCCATGTGTGAAGTGAGGGTTCCCACTGCACCACTTCGTAAGGTTGTTGTGTATTAGATGAGATTGAATACGCACTGCGCAGGAAGGTGTGACAGGACCTCTCCCAGTCGTTCTCAAACTCCTGTTGCTGATGGACCTCTTTTCACAACAGCGGGGCGGGGGATTGTTCTCCGTCTTCGCAAGAGGCTCTTCCTTTCCACCCCAGTCTCACTGTGTACCTACTTGTGATATTTCAGGGGCCAATAATGCTGCCTGTGCACGTGACCACAGCTGCCAATAACAACCGCCACAGTGTACTGAAAGCCTGCTCCTGGAGAGAAGGCATTTTTCATCCGGGGGCCCTGTTGTCACACAAGTGAAGTAGACTCGTGAAGGAAGACTGCTGACTGGCGATGGGGAGCAGTCTTCCCGAAGAGCCATTTAAGGTGTTAGAGCAAAGGTTTCATGAATTAATCAAACATAGGCCCAACAGGACTCAAAAAAATTTTTTTAAGGTGGAGGCCTATTGATTGATTACTCAGGCATTTAGGGTTAGGACCCAGCAAAAATGGTGCTTCTAACCTTTTGTTGTGGACACTTGTTGTTGCCTCCCCCTCCCCCATCCTCAAATACCAATGGTCATTTGGGAACCACCTATTTTTCAATCTCTTTCCATTTAGTTCAGGTGGGCGTGGCTTCACACTTCACCCCCCCCCCCCCCACACACACACACTCTGTGACCCAGGCCTGACTAGCCATGGTAGTAGCGATTGATTGAAGGGTAAGCCCTCTGTCCAGAGAGGGTCAGTGAGAATCAGCATTGGGACTTTTGCTGAAAAAGGCACTCTTTTCCCCCTGGAGTTGCTAGAAGATGTGAGCCAGAGCAATCTTTACCACTGCGTGGGCAGATTCTGCCTTTGAGAAAAGGGCAACAGAGAGAAAAAGCAGATCTGAAAGATGGAGTCACATAGATTCTTGTTGCTCTTGCTGAGCAGCTGGAACTAGCCATTCCTGAAGGTACAGAGTTTTAAATTATATGAGCTAATACATGATCTTTTCAAAGACAGCTTGAACCGGGTTTCTTGTTAATGGCAGCCAAAGGGGTTCTGACTAATTCATCTATTTATTTTTTTTATGAAAAATTTGCAATTTTTTATATTGTGGCATAAAAACAGAAGTCTGACGTGTTTGATAACAATTTTTGACAGTTCTGTCTATTTCTGACAAGAACATGCTGCTGGGAAGTTGCGAGACCCATCCCCTGTGTCCATCCCCCTCCTTCTAAGTGCATATTTATTCCGAGCTACATAAATGTATGCTAATGATCTTAGGAGGTTGCCAATCGGAACTGTGCTCCAAGAAGACTATAGCAGTCATGAGTAGGATTAGAGTAGGGAGAGGCAAGAGGAAAAAAGACTAGTCAGGAGGCCAATATAATAATTCGAATGAGAAATAAGGATTTTCACAAGGTGGCAGCCACAGAAATGGAGAGACCCTGGGGAGGTGGGAATGTCATGGTTTGGTGATAGATCCGAGGGTAAAGGAGTCAGAATGTTTTCATCTACAAGGCCCTACATGTCCTGATCCCCTGCTCTGTCCCTGACTTACTCTCACCGCTCTTGCTGTTGCCCAGTCTGCCCAGCTGCAAGGGCTTTGCGCTCACTCGGCCCTCTGCTTGGGATGCTTGCTCCAGACAGCTCCCCGCTCCCTTCCCTTACTTCCTGCACGTCTCTGCTCAGGTGGCTTCACATTAGCAAGGCTTCCCTGAGCCTTACCCTTGACCCTTCCATTACTGCAAGTCCCATCCTAGCGCTCCTTACACCTTTTTAGTTTTTTTCCTATCACTTTAACCTACTGTCTATATATTTCGTTTCTGTCTCCCTGGACTAGAATGCAAGCCCCATGCAGGCAGTGAACTTGTTCACTGCTGGCTCCCGAGAATCTAGGACAGAATCTGACACAGTGTAGGTACTCAGTGAATATGAACAGATCAATCTCGAAGAACTGGGACAGTGATGTGGTGCTGACAGAAAAACACCGAGAGATGAGTGGGCCCAGGGTGAGTGGGCTAGAGGAGTAGGGGGCTGGACCAGTGCAGAGCCCGTGGGGTTTAAGGTTAGACGAGCACATGGCACTATCAGGCTGGTGGGTGAAGTGCTGGTCTGGTGCTTAGGAGGAACCAGAGGTGGGGATCTGGTGGGGGGTTATTCATCAACATCTGATGAAATCCCTGGGGAGAGCATGAAGTGAGAAATGAGACCTGAGCACAGAGCACTGTAGAAGGCGTGGGGTGATCGACTAGTCCTGGTTCGCACAGGACTTTTCCTGGTTTAAAGACTAAAAGTCTAGCTTGGGCACCTCCTCAGTCTCAGGCAAATGGAGGTGGTTGGTAACCCTAAGAAGGCCCTTCCCCTGAGGTAGAAGGAGGGGCAGGACTGGTTGGATAAGACAGATGAGAAGCAGCTTGGATCTTCCTCACAGAACCCAAGGAAGAAGGGGGCTCTGGTAAGGAGAAGTCTCCCTCCGTCTTCTGCTCCCCCAAGACCAGTTTGGTTGGACGTTCTGAGCCCAGGAAAGCTGAGTTCCCTCCAAGCTTCCTTCACGCCATCTCTCAGCAGCACTTGCCGGCTTCCTGGTAAGCTGAGTAACTGGGTTGGTTCCATGGCCTGAGTCCGAGCTCAGACCAACTAGAGCAAGGACGAGCCCTTTAATTCTGCTGTCTGGGGGTTTAAGTGATGTTCTGGGTAAGGGGTTCTCAGTCAGTGAACGTTTTCTGCTTGTCCCAAGGTGTAGTTTGAGAGGGTAAATAACTGTATTTGCCTAGTCACTGTGGCTAAGCAAACAGGAAGCCGCCTTTCCTCTTGTAAACAATACCAGCCAAGATTAGTAGCACTTACAAGGTGCCAGCTCTTAGCAGTGGGCAGTGAGGAATGCCCTTTTCAGGTAGGGGAAATGATTGCTGGGTACACTGAAATACAAAAGAATCCCAAGAGATATTTTCAAACCTCTTTCTGAACTTGGTAATGGAGTGAATCCTAAACCAAGTATTTGGAGCCTTGGTTATTGTAAAGAGCAAATGAGACAGTAAGTTAGAAAGTATCTTAAGTTGTATAATTTAATTATACAAAATTGTGTAATTATTTTAAATGATTACATAAATACAAGATCTTTCTTATGAATGGGTCTCCTTTGAAATAAAGGAACTGTCTGTAGAAAACATGGTCCCAGTCTTGGGAGAACTGTGTGGCTTACCTGTAGAGGCAGGACGTATACCAAGCTTATGATACGAACTCAATTGTATTTATTGAGCAATATATAAGGAAGTAGAAATAGATGTTGTCAAATCCCTGACTCTCTCACCCCTTCCCAGCTCCCTAACCTACAACATTCATACCCAGCTTCCTAATGAGTATGGAGAAAAGTGCACCAATTCATCCAGGCCAGAGCGCGGTAATGTTTCCAGCCACCTTTCTTTACCTACAGACCTGTTCAGAAATGCGGTGAGTCTGAGTTTAAATGCATTGCCTAGAAACCTAATTCAGTAAATATTTATAGGCAATCTATCTCAAGCCTAACACTACATCAGGCCCCGTGGGGATCTAAAAGAAATCCCCCGCCCTTAATCTCACTGGAGTGAAAAAACTAAGGTTCCCCCAAACGAAGTCCCATATTATTAAGTGCCAGTGTTAGTTATAACCACAATAAAATTCTAGAGAAGGGAAATAGTAATATTTTAAGCAGACTCTATATTTTACAGTGGCTGGGCCATGAACTGGACAGACTCTCAAGACAAAAGGCAACTGGTGAGTCAGGGTGTGATAGAATGAACGAGTGTGGCATGTGGGGAAGTGGTGGCAGGACTTCCCGCTGAGATCTAGCTTGAGAAGGAAGGGGAAATGTATTACCGTTTTTTTAAACATATGGTTTGCTTTCAGTAGCTTAAAAAGAATCCATGGTTCTTAGGGAGTGGTTCTTAAATGGAGGAACCTCTTCATCCTAGGACTTGGGCAGTTAACCTGGCACGTAGGCATTTTAAATCCCAAGTCTTTCTGGGGTATGAAAACCCACTGTGTAGGGAAGAAGCAGCTGCAACTGTTTGATACAACTTTATGAATTCATCAGGGTGGGTGAGATTGTGCTGTGGTAATAATGAACCTCTAAATCTCAGTGTCTAGATACAGTAAACGTATATTTCTTGCTCAAGCTATAGATCCAGCATAGATGATGGTGGTGGGGGGGGCAGTGCTGGGGGAGAGCTCTGCTTCATAGGATCTTTCAGGGACTAGGCTGAAGGAGGTTCCTTATCTTGGAAGGCTGATGTGGCTTCCAGGGCTGCTGTAGCAGGGAAAAGAAAACTGGAGTATCATGCAGGGTGTTTGTAAAACCTCCCAGTGGGTGGCTTATACTACCAACACCTAGTTCGGCTAAATTCAATGGTAAGTTAAAGGAACAGTGGGATATGTTATCTTCCTTTGTGTCTTGTAAGAGAAAAAGTAAAATAGGATTTGGTATACACATAGCATTATATTCATCATGACCTGTGATTCAAATAATTTTTATTAATAATAATTTTAATTAATAATTTTTATTAATACTAACACATATTTGC